TTTAGTCCAATTCTGTATCCTTCCCTTCAAGGCTCAGGGGTCCACGATTATCTTCTGTGTCTGTGTTAATTGGTTTCCCTTTTCTTTGTTGAAGAGGGTATGTGCAATCCTTCTGCCTAGTCTGCCATCTTGCCGGAACTCTAATTTTTCAAGTATGTGAGTTACTGAGTCAGGACCACTTCCCCTTTTTCTGAAACCCATTGTTTTATTATGATTTAAAACTTTGCTTTAGTGTAGTCACTTGAACTTGACTGTAAGTTTACAACAACTTTGAATTCAATGACAGTGGTTATGTGTTAATGTTGAGGCTGGTATAGCTCCCTTCAAGGTGCACGTGTTCAGGCCAGGGCTCAGAAATCTTTCCTGAGGCATTTTGAGTTCTCTTCCTGCTATCCATCAAAACAAGTCTAGAAATGGTCCTCAGATACACCTTTTCTGGAATGATATCAAGCAGCAGAATAGTCTGTTTTTCCTCTTGATTATATAAGTTAAATTTCAGGAATCTTATCACTAGTGTATAGAAAACTGTGGAAAGTCATGGTTGTGACCCTCCACTGTCGCTTAATTCTCACACCTTTCCTGCAGGGTGGGTGAAATTGTCTTTACAGATGGGAAATTGGGGTTTTGTGGCTAGAAAACGATAAGGAAAATGATAGGTTTGAGCATGTAACTATCAGATTTCCAAGTTTATGCTGCTGCTTCTAAATATCAACACTTTCTGTTCTCTCTTTTGGAGCAGTAGACAACACTTCTAACAAAACCAATTCCTTCTTTGTTCTCTTTTCTCTGTGTTTTAGGCAGTACAAATCTCAATTTGAAGACCAAAAGATCTGGTATGAACACAGGCTCATCGATGACATGGTGGCCCAAGCTATGAAATCAGAGGGTGGCTTCATCTGGGCCTGTAAGAACTATGATGGTGACGTGCAGTCAGACTCTGTGGCCCAAGGTAAGGAGCTGGGGGACCATGCAGAGGTGAAGGTTGGCCTGCAGCAGAATAGGTCATTCCATAGTAGTTTCTCCAGTTTAGGGGCTTTATTGTAGCCTTCTGTTTGTAAAATCCTGAAATGGTTGCATTGTAAGGCATTCAGGCCCATCATCTCATCTCATAGGAAAGGAAATTAAGCTCAGACTGTGGAAGTGACTTAGCTGCACACAAAGAGGTTACTGTGTAGATTGAGATTCCTGGCTCCAGCCCTACCCATTAATAGTTTACAAAGCTTAACGTTTTTCCCCACCTGAAGTGTCACAACTCCCAACAGGTAGCCCAACTGCTTGATCCAAAACTCACTCATTTCCTCTGCCTTTAGTTTCCCTCTGGTGAGAATGGAAAGCCCAGAGCAGGGAAGAGTAAAGTGAAAGGCCCGGGTTGTCCAGTAACCAAAGGGGCTGTCTCCAGGAGCTCATTCATTTGCACAGCAGGTACTAATTGCACCCCTTCTGCCAGCCTTGAAGCTGCTCTAGTACTTTATGAAACAAGAATATTTACTTACTTAGTTTTAAACACAGAGGAGCTAAATCCAAGAAGCCCAGGGCTGTTCACAGAAATTTCAAGAACCACAGGCTTTATACCAGGCATAAGAGCCAAGCCAACAGCAACTCCCCTTGATTTCCTCAGTGCCAGGTTGCTCTTCAATTTCAGTTACCCCAGTAGCTATGTAAACTCGATCTCCCCAGATGAATGTTAGTATTGCGTTGATTGTATTTGCTTTTTTCCAGGAAGTCATTCCTTTTCTTTATCTTATGAAAGTTCAGCATCTCCTATCAGTTTGAAAATCAGTAGGCCAGCCCAGTAAAGATAACTTTTATGTCAGATAAATGAGGTATACAATTCTCTTTACCCTCATTCCGTTTCTCCTAATCCTCACAATCATTTGAACTGTATGCATTAGAGAAAGGAACATTGCTGTGTGATGGCTCCACAGTGGGTAAGGAAAGGTATTCCTTGTAATCAGAGCTCTTAGAAAAGAGAGAATCATTCCATTATTTCTAAGTGTCCTCATAGCAACAAGAAGAGAATATCTGAAGGAATACAGGTATATGTTGCTTAACGTCCATGATATATTCTGTGAAATAAGACATAATGTAATTTGGATGTTGTGTGAACAATCCCTGTATGTTATTTGTTATTTGCTGTCGAGTCGGCCCCGACTCATAGCGACCCCTCCTTGGGTTTCCGAGGCAGTATCACTACGGAAGTAGGATTGCCCAACCTTCCTTCCGAGGAGTGGCTGGTGGGTTTGAACCGCCAGCCTTCTGGTTAGCAGTCAAGTGCCTTAGCCACTATGCTACCAGAGCTCCTCCTAATCCCTGTATAATCAGTAGTTAAAAGACCATAAAGCGTTTTATATTAACACTTACAGGAGCCGGCCAGACAAGGCCAGAGAGCTGTATCACTGGATGCAGGAGGCTGACTGTGCAGTTAGGCCCAGCAGCCAGATCTGGACTTTGAGGACATGATGACACAGAGCAGAGGGCACACAGGGGCACAGAGGGGTAGCCAGGGAGACCCGGCAGGGAGTGGGTTGTGAGTGCCAGAAGCGTAGCTGGTGGTGGTGACCCTGGCTGCCACCATTCTTGATGTGGCTGCTTCCTGATCTTGTGAAGCAACCCGCAACTGGGAGCCTGTGAGCTCCCTGGGAGGCTGGCACCTGCAGCAGCAGAAGTGCCACAGCAGACACTGCCCTGCCCTGGGAGTGAGACGCTGCACAGTGAGCAAAAACAGGAGGGGCTGTGGGGTTGCGATGCACCCTGGAACCCTGCTGCTCGTTCACTCTGAGGGTTTGGGGTCTTTAAAACCATTAGGGGGGAATAATAAACAAAAGGAGTTGCTTTCCTGCTTAAAAAAAAAAAAAAAAAACTTACTATGAACTATAGGACTATGGGCAGTCATATGTTGGAGTCCAGCCCTATATGCAGTTGGATGTCGCCTGACATTAAGTCATTAAGTGATGCACTGTTTTGGTTACCTAGTGCCACTCTAACTGAAATACCACAAATGGGATGGCTTTAATAAACAGGAGTTTATTCTCAAAATCTGAAGGTTTTAAGTCTGAGTTCAAAGTGCGAGGCTCTAGGAGCTGAGTGAAAGCCCTTCAACCTTGGGCTTCAGCTCTGCCTTCTGCTCCCGGCCCACTGAAGCTGGAGGCTTTTCTTCGCTCAGCTGCTGGCTGCCGAGGCTGACAAACCCAAGGTCGACAAGTAACAAGACACAGTCCCGATATTACCAAACCACATGGCAGGCCATTAATTCAAGTCCATAAAAGTCCCAGGGTCGGCAGAGCATGGCAGACTGATAAACAATGGCACAGCTGCATGCAGGGTTCAAGCATGCCATAAGCTAGAGACCATTCCCAAAGCTGCCTCTTTTATACAGAAAGCAGACCACATCCCTAAAGCAGCTACTCAGCTGCTTGTGGTAGATCCTGCCATGGAGTTGATTGCTAGTCTCATCATGGGGAGTAACTACCTCCTGCTGCCCAGCTGCTCAGCCAGGCCCAGCCAAGTTGACACACAACTTTAACTACCACACATAACATAGATTTCAAATGCAAATATTGAGTTTATAGAGCTTCAAAGAACTTTGAAATAGCAGTCGTGTAGTGCATTGTCCAATAGTGCACTGATAAGGGAACTGAAACGTAAGCTATGTGACTGTGGAAGGTCTGGAGATAAATGTGACCCAGGAAGCTAAACAGATTAAAAGGCAGCAGAGCTGTCTTTATGACGCTGCTCTGGAAACAAGAACTACTTTGGACTCGCACCAAACATTTCGTTTATTTCCTCAGTTCTGACAATGTCATCAACTAGTGCCTTCTAACATTAATAGACAACCTCACTATGGGCATGTTTTTTAAGTTTCCAATCACTAAATATTTATTTAAGAGTTTACTAAAGCCTCAGATCAATGCAGTATTGTAAGGAGTTACTAATCCCATGTGGAAATTTTAAATTTCCTAAAGATAATTTGAAAATAAAATTAGTGTTAATTTATACATCCAAAGATGCTAGAGTTGATCTCAGACACTCCCCCTCCAAAAAAAAAGTAGTAGCCTATTCTAAATTTATACTATTAATGACAAAAGTACTATTCCCAAGCCAAACGCACTGCCATCTAGTTAATTCCAACTCACAGCAACCCTATGGGACAGAGTAGAACTGCTCCCATAGGGTTTCCAGGGCTGTAAATTTTTAGGGAAGCAGATTGCCTCATCTTGCTCCTGTGGAGCAGCTAGTGGCTTCCAGCTGCCGACCTTTTGGTTAGCAGCCCCAATGCTTTAAACACAGTGCCACCAGAGCTGCTTCAGGTGCTCCTGGGAGGTAGCAAAAACAGGAAAGGAAGTTCTCCAAACTCAAGTGTAAAATAGTGAATGAAGAAGAAACATCACTTGTATGAACTTAAAGATTGTGATGTGGTTTCTGAACAGAAAATTACAGAATAGAATTGCTTTGCTGTGAGTGTTAAGAGAATAAGGAAGGGCAAGTGGGTTGTTTTGACTTACAACATTCTGTTTCACCTGCCTCTTTGTAAGGAGTCTGAGTATCTTGAGAGCAGGAAACAACTCTTATAAAACTTTGTTCCCCAAAATAGCAGAGCATTGGCACATAAATATAGAAATAATATATTGAGCTCTTTAGTAGCAGGTACTATTCTAAGGAATATGGATATGTATTCTTTTAATACATGTTCGTGAATGTGCCTATTTATTTATTATTCACAACAACCCAGTGAGATTGGTACTTCTGTTACCCCCAATTTACAGGTAAGAAAACTGAGGCATAGCAGCTTCTCATCAGAGAGCTAGGGTGGAGTACAAGCAAGCAGACTCCAACTTTCCATTAGGGAACAGGTACCTCTGAGATAATAAAGAAAAAAAAATACAGCTTTCCCAGACCCTTCAGATGTTGTGAGACCCAAAGTGGTAGCCTTACTTTCGGAAAAGCAGAAGAAAGTAGGGATGACTCTGTGTGCCCATGTTTATTTTGTTTCTTAGACCAGTCAAGATTTAGTCATTTGCTCTCATCTCTGAGAGACTCAGTCTTCTTCGTGCACTTGAACCCAGTACTTCATGCTCTGCCACTTACAGGTTATGGCTCCCTTGGTATGATGACCAGTGTGCTGATTTGTCCAGATGGCAAGACAGTAGAAGCAGAGGCTGCCCATGGGACTGTCACGCGTCACTACCGCATGTACCAGAAAGGACAGGAGACATCCACCAACCCCATTGGTATGATGTGTTAACATCTGCACAGATTTCTGATCAGAGAGTGATGATCTCCAAAGGAACTCTGATGGATTCTTTTGGCTGCTTAATACCAGTGTGCAAAGTCATCACCAAGTAGCAGTTTTGTTCTACTAAGAATAGCCATTTTAACGTGCTTCTTCAAATATATATAATTGATACTCTCCTAGTTTGTGGGGGAATATTCTTTACAGAGACGAATATTATGATAAGTATTTTCCTTTTCCTCTAGTAAAGTGAAATATCACATAGCCTAAGAATTAAAAGCCACACAGATCTTTCCAATAAGTTTTCGCAGACAGCACTTTAAAGAGATCACAACCCCGAAGAAGACGCCAGTATAGACATGATAGACATTTTCCAAATTAAAAAATGCCTTAAGATTCAAGAATTAGTACACACCCATGAAAATGTACTTTCTTAACACTCTAAGAAAATCCAAACTTTTTTCTTTACAAAAGTGCATATTATTCAAATTTTTAATTTGGTAAAATTTTTCAGATGCTTCTAAAACTAATAGTTCATGTGGATAGCATCTAATGAAGTCAATCACCTAAACAAAAAAACTGTTCTATTTTTGTAAATTGTGAAATATTTGAGAATCTCTATGACTGGTATGATTGAGATGTGCTTTTTTTCCTTTTCTCCCCCCCTCCCCTTCCCCTTCCCCTCCCCCTTTCCTCCTCTTCCCCTCTTCATCTCTACATCTCTCTTTTAGCCTCCATTTTTGCCTGGACCAGAGGGTTAGCCCACAGAGCTAAGCTGGATAGCAACAAAGAACTCAGTTTCTTTGCAAAGGCTTTGGAAGAAGTCTGTATTGAGACCATTGAGGCTGGCTTCATGACCAAGGACTTGGCTGCTTGCATTAAAGGGTTACCCAAGTAAGTATAATATGCCCTAAACTTTATGGTCAAATCACAACTTATCCTCAGTGGACTCAAAACATCAGTAGTTTTTGGAACTTTATGAATTGTTATTCATCATCTAGATTGGGGATCAGCAAACATTATCTGTCAGTGAATATTTTAAGCTATGTGACATAATATGGTCTCTCACAACTATTCAACTCTGCCTCTGCTGTTATAGCAGGAAAAGAGTCATAGACAATTTGGAAATGAATGGGTGTGACAGTGTACCAATAAAATGTTATACACAAAGCCAAGGTACTAGCCAGATTTGGCCCATCCCATAGTTTGCTGAAGACGTAGAGTGAGAGATATCATTGCTGATGTCAGGTGGATCTTGGCTGAAAGCGAAGAAGACCAGAAAGATGTTTACTTCTGTTTTATTTACTATTTGATTGTGTGGATCATAACAAATTATGGATAACATTGAGAAGAATGGGAATTCCAGAACACCTATACATAGACCAGGAGGCTGTTGTTCGAACAGGACGAGGGGATACTGCATGGTTTAAAATCGGGAAGGGAGTGAATCAGGGTTGTATCCTTTCACCATACTTATTCAATCTGTATGCTGAACAAATAATCTGAGAAGCTGGACTATATGAAGAAGAACGTGGCATCAGGATTGGAAGAAGACTCATTAACAACCTGTGATACGCAGACACCACAGTTTTGCTTGCTGAAAGTGAGGATGACTTGAAGCACTTACTGATGAAGATTAGACACTTTAGTCTGCAGAGTGGATTACATCTCAACATAAAGAGAATGAAAATCCTCACAACTGGACCAATAAGCAGCATCACAATAAATAGAGAAAAGATTGAAGTTGTTAAAGATTTCATATTACTTGGTTCCACAATCAGCACCAATGGAAGCAGCAATCAAGACATCATATGATGTATTGCATTGGGCAGATCTGCTGCAAAAGACCTCTTTAAAGTACTGAAGAGCAAAGATAGCTCCATGAAGACTATTATGTACCTAACCCAAGCCATGGTCATTTTCGATCACCTCATATGCATGTGAGAAGTGGACAATGAATAAGGAAGACCGAAGAAGAATTGATGCTTTTGATTCATGGTATTGGCAGAGAATACTGAAAGTATCATGGACTGCCAAAAGAGTGAACAATTCTGTCCTGGAAGAAGTGCAGCTGGAATGGTCCTTGGAAGTGAGAATGGCCAGAGTTTGTCTCACCTACTTTGGTCAGGTTGTCAGAAGGGACCATTCCCTGGAGAAGGATATCATGCTTGGTAAAGTGGAGGGTCAACAAAAACGGAAAATGCCCTCAGCAAGATAGACTGGCTGCAACTATGGACTCAGATATAGCAAGGATTGTGAGGCTTGCACAGGACCGGGCAGTGTTTCATTCTGTTGTACATAGGGTCACTATGAGTCGGAGCCAACTCAACAGCACCTAACAACAACAACATAGTTGGCTGACCCTTGATTTTGTTGATAATCATTGGATGACAAAGTTCTGAAAATAATAGACAATTAGAAACAAAGGAACCTCAGAGGTTATTTTATTCCATCTCTTTATTAAAGTAAGCAACAGAAGTATAAGATATCTGTCTCTTGATGGTCCCTTCCATAAGTGTCTGTTAACTAACAGTCAAATGCACAGGATTTTTCTGAGCATTTGGTAGCCAGTGTTCCAGCTGGATTAGCTGCTAGTCAGAAACTCCTTCCCAAAGTCAGTTACTGTGGCTCACCTCAAGAAACACTAAAATTTAACACAAATACCATATCCCAATGGTGTGTCTTCAGAGGTCTGTTAGGGTCGTTTTATACCAGTAACAGGAGTGAACTCAATCACTACACTTTTTATGTTAAATTTGCAGAAAAAATACAGTGTTTGCAATGTTCGTATCAGTGTGGTACCTTTGTACTCTATTTAAATAGACAACTAACAGCAGGATTATGCCAGTCCATTGTTTTGGGGTTTTCTTAAGATACTGAGAAATAAACTCAACTCGCTGTCATGGAGTCGGATCCAACTCATCATGATCCCTCCTTGGGTTTCCAAGGCGGTGTCACTGCAGAAGTAAATTGCCCAACCTTCCTTCTGAGGAGTGGCTGGTAGGTTTGAACCGCCAGCCTTCTGGTTAGCAGTCAAATACCTTAGCCACTAAGCCAGCAGAGTCCCACTGATAGAAATAAGAGCATTAAATTATTTTTTAAGGACAAGTGACAATTTGTGAGAATGTGAGTCAGGACCATATCATAAATAGGCTTTGTAATTATTAAGGTAAAGGAACAAAAAGTAGGATGATTTCCATATCCTGAGCATCAGTCTAAACTTAAGCTCTGTGATAGTTTCACCCTCAAAACTACATGGTAAGAAATCTAGTGTGAGTGATGTAAATGAGCTTCCTTCACAGGCTGTTGTAGAACCTGAGTTACGAGATTGAGTCAGCCTTAAACCTTGAGTAGCACAGTCTGTAGATTTGTAGCTGGTTAACCTTAATTGAAGAGTTTTGGTGGGGCCATGATTAAGCATTCAGCTACTAACCAAAAGATTGATAGTTTGAACCCAGCAGCCACTCCATGGAAGAAAGATGTGGCAATCTCCTTCTGTAAATTGTTGTTGTTGTTGTTATGTGCCATCGAGTCAGACCCAACTCATAGCAACCCCTCCTTGGGTTTCCGAGGCAGTATCACTACAGAAGTAGATTGCCCAACCTTCCTTCCGAGGAGTGGCTGGTGGGTTTGAACCGCCAGCCTTCTGGTTAGCAGTCAAGTGCCTTAGACACTACGCTACCAGAGCTCCCGTGCCATTATGAGTTGGAATCAACTCAATAGCAACAGATTTTTTATTTTAACCTTAATCACTTTTCCTCTAGAGATAACTACAACACTGCTTTAACATTTCTAAGACTTTTCTTCTACCAGCTATCGACTTCTATCAGTCCAGAGGCAAACTAAATTTCCTTTTTCTCCCTCTCTGTTCTATTTAGTGTGCAACGATCTGACTATTTGAATACCTTTGAGTTCATGGACAAACTTGGAGAAAACTTGAAGATAAAACTAGCTCACGCCAAACTTTAAGATCATACCTCAGCTTAGGAGCCTACGGTTTTTTTGTTTTGTTTTCTTTTGTTTTTTTTGGTAACTAGGTCCACTGGTTTACATTTTTCTGCATAACACTCAAGGGTAAAGACAAAATCAATTTTGTAATTTGTTTAGAAACCAGAGTTTATCTTTTCTATGTGTTTACAGTCTTTTTCTTATATGTACAGTTATTGCCACCTTCCTGAATGTGGCAGGAAACTTTATTTTCTAGTAGCTGCCTGGGAATTACTTTAGTACTCATTTGTACTTACTGTCACTTTTTCTCTTGTTCAGAAATAAATGACCAAATCAAGAGTGCTTGAAAGGGCAAACTGGAGCCACAGTATTGTTCTCTTACAAATTCAGTCTCTCCCCCATCCTTGGTTTTGGTGGCACAAATGTATGCAAGGAGCTGTACATTGAACTTGTGCATGATTTAGAACAAAGGGCATGAGTGTAACTAAAACATATGGCAGTCATTTTTGTAAAGAGCTCTCGTTGAATGTTTTGAGGATGCTAAATGTCTTTGAGAACACAGGAGACTTTGGAATCCACAGTGAATCCTACCTTGAGATTTGTCCCGTGTTTGTCTTCCCTTCCCTTGTGTTGTGTGGCCTGAGTATTATGCTGCCCTAAATCAAACTGATTCAGTCATGGCTAATGAAGCAAAATCAGAACAGACCCAAATTTTTAAAATTTGGGTGAAGCAGAACAATAACTGGAATGGGAAGAATTATGGGTCAGGACTCTGGAATGGGAGATGTGGAAGAGGCATAGTGAGCCCTTTCAGGAGCCTGACGCAGGAGATTAGGTTATTGCCAAGCCTGTGCAAAGCAACACACATTGAAAGTGGTGTATTTGGTCACCATCTTTGAGCAGGGCACCACTGTTTCCAATTCTAGCAGTCAAGAGATTTACATGCCGTGCAATGCACCCATTGCCCTTATTTTTAAGAAGGAGATTAAGTTTCTAGCAGAGCATTGACCCATAATTTTTCCCTTTCTTGTTATCAGTCCAGTTCACCCACATTATACAAGTTCGGGTCCATGCCAGTTTCACTTCATCAGCCATGACTGAGCTGGGAAGAACCGGTTCAAAGCCCTGCACTAAATACATTTTCATATAAGTGCAATAATACAAAGTGTATCTTTTCTGGACTTCTGCTGGCCTATTTTCTTTCTTTTCTATAAATGTGATTTTTCAGAAATTAATGTTCAACACTATTCTAGTCATGTTCCTCCTGAACTGTTAATTTTAAATAAAATGAAATGCTAATGACAATCCTCCTGAGTTGTGTTTTTGTTTTAGACGCTAGGCACCATGGTAGATCCTAGACATTGAATTTCATTTTAAAAGTCTCTTCCCTAAAGCTCACTATGAAGGAATGGATAGGTAAACCAACAATAAGATGTGGACAAAAATGAAAGGGAAAGAAGACCAAAGTTAGCACTGAAAGGGTGTTATTAGGGAATATGCACAATGCTAAGGAGTTTAGATGTTACCTTATAAGTTAACGGGAAGCTATGATGGTTAATGTTATGTGTCAATTTGGCTAAGCCATGATTCACAGTATTATGTAAGTATCCTCCATGTTGTGATATGTAACTGTCCATTTTATGTGTTGTAAATCCTAACCTCCATGTATTAATGACGCATGATCAGACGGGTATACCTTGAGTCACATATTTACAAGTCACACCTTTACTCAAGTATCTGATATAAGGGGGCTTTCCTTGAAAATATGGCCTGCATCCCATATATATTATATGCTCTGGCAAAGCTCTCACTCTGGATCCTCCAGCTGACTCGTCATCATCGAACCTTTGGTTCTTGGGACATGAGCCAGCAGCCTGCCATCTGATCTGCCAGTTTTGGGTTCAGCAGCCCCTGCAACCAAATGTTTCAGGACAAGTCTCCAGCCTGACACCTGACCCACCTGACTTGCCAACCTCCACAACTGCCTGAGGCATTTCTTTGAATTAAATCCCTCTCTCTCTGTCTCAAACTCATTGCCATCTAGTCAGTCCTGACTCACAGCAACCCCTCCTTGGGTTTCTGAGGCGGTATCTCAAAGGCCTTAGGCACTACACTACCAGAGCTCCCAGTCTCTCTCTCTTTCTCTCTATATTGTTGTTATGTGCCATCGAGTCGGTCCGACTCATAGCGACCCCTCTTTGGGTTTCCAAGGCAGTATCACTACAGAAGTAGGATTGCCCAGCCTTCCTTCGGAGAAGTGGCTGGTGGGTTTGAACTGCCAGCCTTCTGGTTAGCAGTCAAGTGCCTTAGGCACTATGCTACCAGAGCTCCTTTCTCTATATATAAACATAGACATATACATATATGTGCTTAACTGGTTTTGTTTCCTTAGAGAATCCAGCCTAAGACAGGAGCCAATTAAGGAAGACAGGAGCCAATTAAGGCTATAAGAAAGGAGAGCCATGATAATGTTTCCATTTTTTAATTAGTACTTGGGACACCTTTTATAAAAAATGGATAAGGGAGGTGGACACACTGGGGAAAGCTGTTGGAGTACTTCAGGTGGGAAAAGGTAAAGATCTGAACTGGACAATGGTACTGAGAATGGAGAAAACAGATTCCTGAAGTAATAAGGAAATTGAACTGATAGGGCTAATGAGATGTGGATGTTAAAAGGGAACAAGTCAAAGTTTCCTTCATATTTATGTGTCCACACCCGGAGAAAGGCTAGTCAAGATCCCAGAAACTTTGAAAAGGAGGCTCTGGTGAACTCTTGCACTTGTACACTGCAAAATTCAGTGACTGGGGTGGATTATCCCTATTCTGCTCTCCCAGTGGGCTTGGGGTCAGGCCCCAGACACTGTCTAAACACAAATCCCCTTTGGTGCTCAAGGAAGCACGGATCTTTTTTAAGTCATAGGATGGAGCTAATACAGGGTGAACTTTTGACCCATTTCTGTCAGTGCCACCTTCTAGAAACACCCCAGTCAAAGCCCACAGGTAGACCAGTCCTCTGACAAGAGACCCTCATGAAACAGAGGAGGTCTATGTGGCTTGCACAATTTATCCTTGACTGAACTGAAGTTAGATCAAGACCACGTGAGCTCTCCCAGAGAGAGAAAGAAAATAAATTTTCATAAGAGGTCATCAAGACCTCTATTGCAGTAGGAAAAACAGCATTGCTTCTAACTCAAACAAAGGTTCCCATAAAGAAAATGACTTTTTATTCCCTTCCCCCTCCTGCCCCACAAAACTTTTCATTTTCTTTTTATTGTGCTAAGTATATATCAGGAGCTCTGGTAGTATAGTGCCTAAGGCACTTGACTGCTAACCAGAAGTTTGGCGATTCAAACCCACCAGCCACTCCTCGGAAGGAAGGTTGGGCAATCTACTTCCGTAGCGATACCGCATGGGAAACCCAAGGAGAGGTTGCTATCTCGACAGCACATAACAACAATAACAAGTTTATATCATCAGGTCTGTCTTCCACAGTGTTTCTGGGTAGGTTCAAATCATCTACTTCAGCAGTTTTTCAGTCCTCTTTTACAAGATTTTGACACTGTGACATGTTTAAACTATATGATAAAGCCTAGTAACTTAACTTGGACTCTAAATTTTTATTCTAGTAATCTAGAGCTACTTTGCATATTTAAAATTTCCATATTTTTCATGTGTAGTTATATTCAGGGAGTTATAAAGCATCCTGTTGACTTGTCTTTAGATATTGTTAGCGATAGTTTACATGTTGGTGACTGACTTATTCCTACAAATTAATAACCATACCCTTGTACTATTTCATGAAGATTTACAACTTGGGACTCAGCCAAAGTTGAGTATGGCTTTTCCATTTGAATTAGCTTCTTTATAGAATAATTGTTATGGTTTTTTCTTCTTTTTTTCCCTTATATCTTTGAACACAGCTCACCCAACAAATACATTTGTGTGTGTCCCCTAATCCTGACACTGTCTTTGGAAAGCAGTTTCCCAGAAGACCCACTACCTCTAGATGTAGGTACTTCTCATACAAGTCAGGCTACACTACGCACTGTAATCATGTCAGTGCTAGTGCCAGGCTGCTAGGATCTTGAGCCATTGGTTTGTTACAGTGTTCTAATATGATTCTTTACTATTATAATAGGAGTGACTTTCAGAACTTATTTGGAGTTATTCTTGGGTTTTTTCCCATGAATACATTCTTCAAATCTCCCAAAACTATGACAAGATAAACAATATGTTTATAATGAGTGCTTTAATTCTTGCCCTTTTTCACAGTTGTGGCTGACTCACTTGGTTTAGTTGTATCAATGCCAAGTTGTTAATGACCTCCATTTTTGCAGGTAATAGCTAGAAATGTGTCAGCCCTGATATGACTGCTTCACAAAATCCTTGCTAAACACAGGGAGTATATAAGACACACAAAAGGATGGAATTTTCCCAACACATTTCTTCCTAGTCCGATGCTTTATTATGGGAACCCAACTTCATTGAGTTCAAAGCCACAGACTAAAAATATAAAGTCTTTGCTATAACCTAAGATAAGCTGGACAATGAATAAGGAAGACCGAAGAAGAGTTGATGCTTTTGAGTTGTGGTGCTAGCGAAGAATGCTGAAAGTACCATGGACTGCTAAAAGAACTAACAGATCTGTCCTGGAGGAAGTGCAGCCAGAATGCTCCTTGGAA